AGGTATTTCCATGTTATGTTGTAAGTTGAAGGTGATTTCAAGTTATGTTGTAAGTTGAAGGTGTTTCCAAGTTATGTTGTAGACATCAATAATGGAATACTTCAAGTTATGTTTTAAGAAATGAATAGACTTGCACGTCAGTGCAGTTTGAGTGTAGGTTTTATAATGTTCTTTTATTTTAAGTCAAAATGTTCTCTTACCCTAAATACATAAGTTCAACGCGCACTGCGATGCCGGTAGAGCCGGCAGCGTCGCGGCTGCATAATATATTTCTTATTTGTATATGTACGCTTAGCTTATGTAAATGTATTGGGAGAGTCTTATGCATACATGTCTTGAGTGCATTCAGTCAGCGTGGGAATGCTGACTTAGCCTAACTCATAATGTGCGATCATATTTCGCTCACTTGATATTTATTTATTTGTTTATATTGCAACAATATGTTGCTGCTGTATGCAAGCAGGTTACAGTGTTACCTCGCTACATGTTTCTACATATGTGCATATTACACAATCAAAAAAAAGAGATATCAGTCAACGGAATCACGAGACAAAACAACGACCACCAAACTCAAGCAAGAAGTACACTCCTGTCGCAAGGACAGGACCATACCACGCAGCACTTCAACGACCCCAGAGACGCGAGAAAAATTGGATGGCACTGACCGCCCCAGTGCGTCCCAGTTCGATGCAGGCTTCTGCTCGTTGTTGGTCGACAAAGTGACCAAATGGGGACTGTTCTTCGATGGCACCTCAGACCCGCTCAGCTTTGTGGAACACATCGAAGAACGGGCGGATACCTAACGGGTTGACGGAGAGTATCTTATGACGCTAAGGAGGGGTATAAAGTTGAATAATAAATAAGATTAGTGAATTAAGGATAGCAGTAAGGACAATCATGAAATCAATAGTATATGTTTAGGTGAGGGGCCATTGTGCCGCCGAAAAAGAGCGCATCCGCGCTGAAGAGCGCATCCACGCTAAAGAGCGCATCCGCGCTGAAGAGCGAATCCGCGCTGAAGAGCGCATCCGCGCTGAAGAGCGCATCCGCCCTCGGCGCTGGGCTGGGCTACGGTTCGAGGAACACCGTAGTATCCTGGTGCCCAACGGAGAAAAAAAATATTTTTTTTTAACTGTCTCTCTATCTATACATTTTAATGGTACCACACAGATACATTACATTACAACAAATTAGGAAATGGAATTATATTTTTCATAAAATTGTCATTTATTTAGCTTAATTATGTAAAATGCACGTTGTTTTTTAATTAAAAATAATTTTTTTTTTAATTTTATCCAAGTCATTTGCTTGACTCTGGTATCTTTTCTTGATACATTTATTGTGGTATCTATATACTTTATACAATAGATTTGCCACATTTATTATGAATATTACTACAATTAATACGGTTATAAATTTAAGATCAGCGTTATCAATTTCTACTTTGTTGATAACATTGGCTGTAGAGTCTACAGTTTTAACGTCTACGATGCCCATGTTGGCAAAATTTTCTGGAAATTCTAATTTTATGTCTTTACTTATCTTATTTGTCTCTATAGACATTTAGTTTTTTTTTATACATGTTTTCCTGCCTACTGTTTCGAATGGCTTTTCGGGCAAAACGGCTTACCGGTCGACTCAATTGTCGTCGGGTATTACAAATATTTAATAATAATGATAAAATTACTGTTGGGCACTCTTTAGTGCTGTCGGTCAGTTGACCCTCTCGTACTTCTTCTTGATCCAACGTTGTCACAAGGGGCGGTCTGCCTCTCGTGATTAATTATTTATTGTTGCTTTTTGAAACATCTATTGCTTTGCTTTGCATGTGCCCAGGCAATACGGGCTGAAGAGTGGTTCTTCACAGTCCGGTGGGCATTGGCGTTTCCTTTGTGGTATTTCCTTCGGCTGTGGTCGATGTGTTTATTCTGAATTGCATGTGAGTTACAGGTTGAGTCAGTGCCTTTTTTCTTTAGCACGGTCACGGTCCGTCGATCGGTCCGGAGGCGGCAGGAGGAGGCAAGGCAGCCCAATACCACGGCGCTGGGCTGGGCTACGGTTCGAGGAACACCGTAGTATCCTGGTGCCCAACGGAGAAAAAACACTTCAGGTCATCTTCGGGCGAGGGCGCCGAATAATGGTCAGCCCACACACGCCGGCCGCTCAGGGAAAAAAGGGGGTGGTAAGACGCCAAGGAGGCGCATAAAGTTGAATAATAAATAAGATTAGTGAATTAAGGATAGCAGTAAGGGCAATCATGAAATCAATAGTATATGTTTAGGTGAGGGGCCATTGTGCCGCGCTGAAGAGCGCATCCGCCCTCGCCCCTCTCTGCACAATCTTGCACTCTCGCTCTCTCGGGTCCAACTGCAGCGGTCGGCCGTCGGCGATCGTTTTTTTCTTATGCTAAGTTAAGTTAAGTCAGTTTCTTTGTATGAAGTGAATAAATCTGACGGGTCACTCCACGACTCCCCCGACTTCCACCACCATCAAGAGGCATCTTTTTGCGGCAACACCGCCCCACTACAACATTTTGGTCCTTCGAGCCGGATTTTCTGGATATTCTGGATACTTTGGATATTCTGGATACCTTTTCTACCAGCAGTTCCCGGCAGTTCTCCGCTAAAAGATATGTACGACTTTTTTTCCGTCTCCGTCTCTCTGTCGGTCTTCAGCAGTGTTACGAACATTAAATTTCGTTTACACTGCTGCAAGATTTTGTTTTCCTTCCGTGTCAACTCCAAGTCCGAGATTTCCGACACAACGGCAGTGTGAGATTTTCTACTCTTCTTCGTCTTCATATTCTGCCAATTTTTCCATCCGACTCCGTTTTGTGTGCCGCCATATTCCTCGCCGTTTTCGGCCTCCCCGTTATTTGCTATTCCGCTATTCGCTTGCCAACGGTCGAGGCATATGTGCATACATATAATATACACACATACAACCATAAATTTTCTTTTTTTTTTGGTGCAATTAATCCGCGAAAAATTGACCAAGTGAACAGTGAAATTGTGTGGTGACAAAAATAAGGCATAATTAATATTGGCCAGCCGGTGTGATTTATTTCCAAGATTCCTAAATTCATTTAACAGTCCGCCGCTGGCGTAATATTTTTTTTCCCAATCAGTGTTTTATTTTTACACCACACAGCTTTCAGTTCCTCCGTTTATACAGGCCACAGTCCACTGTGCCAACCTAGGGCTCACGTGCATACATATACTTACATATATACATACTTGCATGCATGCTATATATTTTCTGCCTCCAATTTCAGGAAATAAATACATGACAAAATTAAACTGAAATAAATCTGTTTTTAAAAAAAAAAAACCGCCATTTCACTACAAATCCGTGATTGTGTCGCCTAAGTTTTCAAAACCGCCGCCTCAGTAGCCGTGTTGTTTTTTTTTGGTGCTGGTTTTTTTTCCTTTGGGGTGAATTACGAACGGTACTTGTCCATTCTCCGTGCCTTTAGCGCAGCTTCTACTCCGCATCAGGCAACATCCGCCTACAATCTCCACACACCTCGTCTACTTCTGGGTTGTTTGGTTCCTGAAGTTTTGTTTTTACATTCGATTTGTGCCGCACACAATCTTCCTTTCGACATCGGCGCCGCTAGTGCCCACTAGTTCCTTGTGATCGCAATCCATCCGCGATCTCAACGTTCTCATCACTTTAGTGTGACCAGCCACCGCTTCGAACGAAGCCCCTATTGCGCAAGTCAGTCGCCAAGCGCTGACCAGCTAATTGATTTTTGAAAATGCCCACGGGAGACGACAAAAATCCGCGTCCGATCCCAGCCATCAGTTTGGACAGATCTCAATCGGCATCTCCGCGGACGCCTCTTTTGAAGCCTAAGGCGACCAGGGCCATTCCAAGGGCAAAGAGTGACGAAAACGTCAAAACAATCCCCGATCCTTCACAGAGGCAGACTCGCTCCGTTGTAAAAATGGCTCAAAGTCCGGTCGAAGTGGCGCTGAAAAAGTTCATCGCTACGACAGATCGAATTAGCCAATTTGAGGCCAACATCAATACCCCGGGAGGCCCGGAAACAGGCTCCCAATACATGTGCGAAGTCCATCGAGACCAAATTCCGGCACTTTGGGAGAAGGTGGAGAAGTGCTATGAGAGCTGCTATTTACGTCCGTGTCGAAGTTGGGTCTGCGGTCATAGTGAACCTGCTGACGGCAAAGACTCGAGTGGCCCCAGTTAAAACGGTGTCGCTCCCTCGGCTAGAGGTGTGCGGCGCCTTGCTGCTGTCGGAAATGGCCACCGCCGTTCTGCCAAAGATGCCAGGGCCCGCAACGTTCGTGGCCAACCGGGTAGCCAAGATCGCCCAGTTCACCGACGTGCAGGAATGGGAACATGTCCGCTCCGAGCAGAACCCTGCGGACCTTGCCAGCCGAGGCGTAGCTCTCCAAGACCTTGCGGATAACCAGTTGTGGTGGCACGGGCCTGGCTGGCTGCGAGGGCCTCGCAGCGAGTGGCCCACTCAAGGCAACGAGGCCCCCGTGACTTAACTCGAGAAGCGAGCAGTCAAGGTCCATGTCGCGAAGGCGCCTCCCGAAGATCTCCTTGAACGTTTCTCCACACTTGACAAGGCACTACGAGTCCTTGCCTATGTCTGTCGCTTCATCCAGCGCGCGTGGAAGATACGCTCTCCGTTCGAAGAGCACCGTGACAGAACTCGAGAAGCGAGCAGTCAAGGTCCATGTCGCGAAGGCGCCCCCCGAAGATTTCCTTGAGCGTTTCTCCACACTTGACAAGGCACTACGAGTCCTTGCCTTTGTTTGTCGCTTCATCTAGCGCGCCTGGAAGATACGCTCTCCGTTCGAAGAGCACCTGACAGCTAATGAGATTACGTCGGCTGAACGTCTTCTAGTTTCCGTCACTCAGCGCAGACACTTCGTCTCTGAAATGTTCTGTTAAGCGAAAAGCGTCCAGTATCAGCGTCCAGTCCGGTTCAAAATCTGAACCCCTTCATGGATTCGCAAGGCCTTATGAGAGCCTGCGGCCGGGTCACGTCCTCTGAACTTCTCCAATATGACGAACGGCATCCGATAATCCTTCCATACGACTGCCATTTGTCTCGACTCCTTGTTCAATTTACGCATCGCATCACGCTGCACGATGGCAATCAGCTGATGATCCGCCTGATTCGCGACAAATTCTGGATCCCAAGGGTGAGGAATTTGGTCAAGTCCGTCGTCTATGCTTGTAAAGTATGTGTCAACCACAAGAAGAAGTTGCAGACGCAACTCATGGGAGAGCTACCGAAGGAACGGACGTCCTTCTCGCGCCCATTCACGTACACAGGTGTGGATTATCCCGGTCCTTTCGAGATAAAGAACTATACGGGGCGAGCCTGCCTCATCACAAAGGGGTACGTGTTGCTGTTTGTGTGCTTATCCACTAAGGCCATCCATTTAGAGCCTACGTCGGACCTTACGACGGAGAAATTTCTGGCTGCTTTCGCTCGGTTCGTGTCCCGGAGAGGATGCCCCCGTCAAGTGCAGTCGGACAACGGGAAGACCTTTGTGGGGGCAGCTGCCCTACTATCTCGCGATTTTCTCCAGAGCCTAAAAGGGGCTGTGAAAGGTGCCTACAGTCACCAGCAGCTTATCTGGCATTTCATTCCTCCGGGAGCCCCCCACATGGAGGGCCTGTGGGAGGCAGGCGTCAAGAGCTTCAAGACCTTGTTCAACAAGTCCACCGCCACCCGGAAATACACCTTTGAGGAGTTGGCTACTCTCCTGGCGAGGATCGAGGCGTGCCTAAATTCGCGGCCGCTCGCGCCAATGTCCGAAGACCCTGCTGATCTGATGGCTCTTACACCCGGGCACTTCCTGGTGGGAGGTCCTCTTCTCGTCACGGTCGAACCCGAGCTAAAGGGGGATGCTACGTAAATTATTAATCGGTGGAAGCACCTGAAGGCTCTTCAACAGCAATTTCGTTTGCGATGGATGGAAGAGTACCTCAAGGAGGTCGAACCCGAGCTAAAGGGGGATGCTACGTAAATTATTAATCGCTGGAAGCACCTGAAGGCTCTTCAACAGCAATTTCGTTTGCGATGGATGGAAGAGTACCTCAAGGAGCTCCATAAGAGGAACAAGTGGCGTGCCCCTACGAGGAATCTCCGCGTTCTTCCTTTCCAATGTCCCTGTCCATTGTGTTGTCTCGTAGCTCTGCCCGTAATTCCAAGTCGAACTTCCCACCAATTCTGATAACGCTGTTTTGTTTCTTCATCATAGTTCCGCCAGTCATATTCAGCACGATGTCGCCACGTCCACGCCCAGTCACTGGAGAGCAGATGTACTCGAGGTACACAGTCCTACCGAAGCCGAGTCTGCAGAGGGATCCATCCTTTGAAGCAATGTCGGCGCTTTCTACGTCTCAGCGTCGAGAAGCGGCTCCGGGCGGTTTTCGTGAACCGGTATTGCTCCAGCTGCCTGGCTCACGAGCACTCCGACGGATCGTGCCGACGTCGGGACTGCTGTAGAACGTGTGGTCAGGATCACCACTCACTGCTGCACCTCGTGGAGAAGCCGCGGGCTCAGCGCCAGCCCCGTCAAGAGGAGCACTGTTCACGGGGCGCGGGAGACAGAACACGGAGTGTCTCAGCTGGCGCTCAGCCGTCGTCCGTCAACTCCCGGCGCGGTTCGGTTGCTTCTCGGCCGGACTCACAAGCCGGTCCGCAGCCGCTGCGCCCACCCTATCGTCGCTGCTGCAGAGGATCAGCGTCAACGTTCTGCCGACCGCGCTAGTGCGCATTGACACCGCGACCCGGATCTTCAACGCGGAGGCCCTTATCGACCCGTGTACGGCCTCGAGCTGCATCGACGCATCGCTAGCGGCGTGCCCACTACCAGCGTGGGGGACGAACAAGTTTGTTCGGCCACCGTGGGTTCCAAAACGGATGATAGCGTTCGGCTGGAGGTCGTTTTCAAAATCGAGCCTCTCGTGCGCGTTCGTACGCCGTCTCGAGAGCTGAGCGAGGCGGTGCGTGCCCACTTCCGAGGCGTGACATTGGCGGATGAGCGGTTCTATCTGCCACCGACGATCTCCGTAGTCCTGGGCGCGGATATGTACCCGCGTATCATACAGCCGGGGTTCCTGAAGATCCAGGACGGGCTGCCGGTGGTCCAGAGCACCGTTTTTGGATGGGTCGTGTTCGGAGCCTGTCACCAACCGTAGCGACGAGGGAGCTGTTGCAACCCGAGTGATTGCAAGGGGGGCGGGATGTTTAGGTGAGGGGCCATTGTGCCGCCGAAGAAGAGCGCGTGAAGAGCGCATCCACGCTAAAGAGCGCATCCGCGCCGAAGAGCGCATCCGCGCTGTAGAGCGCATCCGCGCTGAAGAGCGCATCCGCCCTCGCCCCTCTCTGCACAATCTTGCACTCTCTCTCTCTCGGGTCCAACTGCAGCGGTCGGCCGTCGGCGATCGTTTTTTTTTCTTATGCTAAGTTAAGTCAGTTTCTTTGTATGAAGTGAATAAATCTGACGGGTCACTCCACGACTCCCCCGACTTCCACCACCATCAAAAGGCATCTTTTAGCGGCATCACCGCCCCACTACAACAGTGTAGTTTGTTTTATAGTTATAAGTAAAAAAGTGAACCTATTAAGTTTATTAGTTAAGAATAAAACACAAAATTTAAATTTGAATGCGCGGGCGCGCCTTGGTAAACAACAAACGGTCACACCGCCGGGCCGGACAAACGGGCACATAAGGGGATTCCCGGAAACGGGCACACTGACTTCAGCCACGGGTTATATAAGGAGGACCAGTTTCTGGGGAAGAGTCACTTTTGCGGTGGATCTCACCCAGGTAAGATCAGCCCTCTCTCGAAGTTGGGCGGATTTAGCCTAGGGCTAAGTCTAATACATTCGTCCCCGGTCATACCGAGGGAGCACTGCCATCGGCCACTCGCCGATGCTTGCCCGCAGCAGATCCATTGGATCACTGTCGCAACAGCCTCACCAGGGCTTTGCATTTCTCACGCGTTGGACCCGAAGGGCCTCGCGTCATCTCTCGCAAGAGTCCCACAGGGGCTTTGCATCTCTTACGCGCCGGTCCCCAAGGGCCTCGCGTCATCTCTCGCAAGAGTCCCACAGGGGCTTTGCATCTCTTACGCGCCGGACCCCAAGGGCCTCGCGTCGTCTCTCGCAAGAGCCCCACAGGGGCTTTGCATCACTCACACGTCGGACCCAAAAGGCCTCGTGTCATCTCATACAAGAGACCCACAGGGGCTTTGCATCTCTCACGCGTCGGACCCCAAGGGCCTCGCGTCATCTCTCCCAAGAGTCACCCAGGGGCTTTGCATCTCTTCCGCGTCGGACCCCAAGGGCCTCGCGTCGTCTCTCGCAAGAGCCCCACAGGGGCTTTGCATCACTCACACGTCGGACCCAAAGGGCCTCGTGTCATCTCATGCAAGAGACCCACAGGGGCTTTGCATCTCTCACGCGTCGGACCCAAAGGGCCTCGTGTCATCTCACGCAACAGACCCACAGGGGCTTTGCATTTCTTACGCGTCGGACCCAAAGGGCCTCGTGTCATCTCTCACCAGAGACCCACTGGGTTTCTATTCATTCATTCTTATACCGAACTCCAGGGTTCTCTTCTCTTTACATTCACACTCGCTTGCGTGACTGGCCCTCGTGGTTCCACACGCTCCATAATTTCTATTCTTCTTTCCCTTTCTTAGCTAGAGAAGCTGCAGGAGGTTTTTAGGAGGCTCCAAGAAGCGCACTTAAAGATCAACGCAGAAAAATGCCGTTTCTTCCAAAAAGAGCTAAGGTATCTGGGACATATCGTGACCGATCAAGGAATACGGACGGACCCAGATAAGGTAGCAGCCATAAGGGAGTTACCGACGCCAGGCACAACAAAAGGGGTCCACAGCTTTTTGGGAATGGCGTCATGGTACAGGAAATTTATTCCGGGTTTCTCAGAACTGGCGGACCCGCTCCAGGAACTGATACGGAAGGGGAAAAAACTCGACTGGCAACCTTGGCACCAGGCAGCATTCGATCAAATAAAAACCAGCGGCCCACTACCAAGGACAAGGCACGGGAATACTGTTCTAGTAGTGATAGTGGATAAATTCTCAAAGTGGGTGGAATTAACAGCGGAACGACAGGCGACGGAAGACACGTTTCTGAGGGTATTTCTTGAAAAGGTCATAGCGAGGGTTGGAGCCCCGAAGACCCTAATATCAGACAATGGGGTGCAATTCACTGGAAGGAAGAGCAAGACAGCCATGGAGCACTGGGGAATAAGGCAGCAGTGCACTGCGCCGTACACACCACAACAGAACCCGACCGAGCGCACGAACCGCACAGTAAAGACCATAATAGCGGAGTTGACAGGAGAGGAACAAACCAAATGGGACGAGAACCTGCCGGAGTTAATGCTAGCATATAACAGCAGCATTTCGGAGTCAACCGGGTATAGCCCGGCACGATTGCTCTATGGAAAAGAGTTGCGTCTGCCCGGAACACTGTTCGACAAAGTCACGGAAGGCTCCGACCTTGTAATAGAATCGATTCCCGACAGATGGGAAAGACTGATGTATACCAGGTCGGAAGCGTACAGGAACATGGAAGACGCAGCGTATCCGTTTTATTAAGTTTTTAGTTAAGAATAAAACATAAAATTTGAATTTGAATGCGCGGGCGCGCCTTGGTAAACAACGAACGGTCACACTGCCGGGTCGGACAAACCACACCACATAAGGGGATTTCCGGGAACGGGGACACTGACTTCAGCCACGGAGTATATAAGGAGGACCAGTTTCTGGGGAAGTCACTTTTGCGGTGGATCTCATCCAGGTAAGATCAGCCCTCTCTCACAGTTGGGCGGATTTAGCCTAGTGCTAAATCTAATACATTCGACCTCGGTCATACCGAGGGAGCACTGCCATCGGCCACTCGCCGATGCTTGCCGCAGCAGATCCACTGGATCACTGTCGCAACAGCCTCACTAGGGCTTTGCATTTCTCACGCGTTGGACCCCAAGGGGCTCGCGTCATCTCTCGCAAGAGTCCCACAGGGGCTTTGCATCTCTCACGCGTCGGACCCAAAGGGCCTCGTGTCATCTCTCGCAAGAGTCCCACAGGGACTTGGCATCTCTTACGCGTCGGGCCTCGCGTCATCTCTCACCAGAGACCCACTGGGTTTCTATTCATTCTTTCTCATACCGAACTCCAGGGTTCTCTTCTCTTTACATTCACACTCGCTCGCGGGACTGGCCCTCGGGCCGCCACACGCTCCATCATTTCTATTCTTCTTTCCCTTTCTTAGGTCACCAAGACGGCCTGGCACTGTCCCCACGCGGCATCCCCACGGCACACTATGGAGCTCTTTCCCCCAGGCCCGCAGACCGCCCACGGCGAAGACCAGGCTATCCGTGTGAGTTAACTCTGTAACCATAGATATGAAATAAACAACTAAGATCTGTTCTACCCTTAACCAAACAAGCTGCGTCGAATCTTCTTTTCAGCAACCACCCCTGACATCAAACTAAATGTTGGAATGAACTGCTGGTATCCGGTGAACTGTCCCAGCCACCCCAAAGCAGGACCGTTACAATCTGTCCCACGCTACCATCGTTCTCCTGACTGGCTGAGCGGAAAGTTTGTTCTGAACCAGTGATCTGCAAGGACGGACCTGGACCGATGTCCGCCGGGAATTCTTGGACTTCTTCCTACCGCCCGGTACTATCAACGTCTCGATGACGAGATCGGCTCACATTTACAGAAAGTAAATGAGCCGTTCAAGGAATGCCTGGTAGATCTTCGCCTTCAGATGCGCCACGCTGGATTCTCACCAGAACAGGAATTGGAACGGGTATCAGAAGTTCACCGCCGACAGGATTTCAAGACGCTGGCCGAAGTCACGCACCTGGTT